CGGTAAAATGAGTACCCAGCTCGTGGGGGGGGGGCAATGTGTAGCCTGCATAATTAACTTGTAAACCGCCCAGAGAGTGCTTGAAGTGCTATGGGGGGGTATATAAGCAGCATGCTTTGCTTTGCTTTTAGAGAGAAGCAATGGTAAATCACTTCAGAATACTGTAGTTTACATCTCAAACATCCTACAATGAGACAATCCAAAATGAAATAAGACATTGTGCTGGAAACTGAGACTGCCAAATCCCTGGTACTCAGTTAATTACTGTGAAAGAGGTGAGGATAAGTAGGACTGTTCTTAATGAAGCTAAGTAGATTAAAGCTAAAGGGACATTTAATTGCTGATGTACATGGATGTGGAAGTCCAAAGCTGCACAGTGCATATAGTTGTGATTTGGAATTTTAGAAGCATGGATCAAGGTATGCTTGGATTGTTAAAATAAGAAACTGAACATGGCATACTTTACTGGGGTGAACTAAAGTGAGCTGGAGGAAAACATCAAATAATTGAACACTTTTAGTTCTGGAAATGAACTACCTGCTGAAAAATTGGTGGAAGATGGTTCAATAACTTAAGCTATGCAGGTAAGCTAAGCTACCTGCATAGTTCAAGTTATGGGTAAGTGGGATTCGTTAGCCTTGGAAGGCAGCCCATCTAGGAGAAGGAAAACTCTAATTTCAAACCTCCACTGCCTTGTGGCTATATCTACCGATGGAAAAGCCTTCAGGAGTTAACCTCGAGGCAAAATCCGGAGCTAGAGTCCCGGAGGCAGTCCGTGACTGTGTACAGTCACGCTCTGGCAACTCCTGCAACATCGCTGGAACCAGTTGTATCAGCGCTTGCCTTTCCATTGGCCTATTTCAGTGACGTGGAGAGGGATAACAGCCTGTCCTCCATGTTATTTTACCCAGGCTTCGTGCTCTGGAGTGGACACTCCAGCTTCACATACAGCATCGAAATAACATGGGAAGTAGCAGTTACCGGTTATAAGTCATTGCTCAACTGGCATAGAGTGTGACACCAGAGGCTACTTCTGACAGTGGAAGAGGTAATTGCACCTGACTAGGTAGCTACCACCCACCTTTTTACTGGGTAGCCCTCAATCAGTAAGGTGCTGCCTTGCCGTGGTCTGTTAACCTCACAGGGTGCGTGGTGTCTAGGGTGAAAGCCGACAAGCGGATCGATAACCCTGCACCATTCATTTACCATAGTCTCTTGAGACTGAAGGGTGCCTGCACACATGCAGATGACATACTACTGGGAGAAAACGGCAATGACTTGAAAGGAATACTTTAGGAAAACTAAAGAAGTGCAAAAGCAGCATTACAGTTGAAAATTAAGAAGACAATGATAATAACTTCACTATTAACAATGGAAACATTGAAATAGTTAAAAACAAATTTATACTCTGGTTTAATCATCAAGGCAAATGCGTATTGTAGTCAAGAAATCAAAAGGCAGAGAGAAGGTTGTCTATGAAGTACCGTATTTTTCCGTGTATTATACTATTCTCTAAAATATTTAGATTAAAAATGTAGGGTCATCTTATACACGATAGTATGGAGGGGGAGGGATCAAAGCACTTTGATTCCTGCTTTCCGACTCCACGTTTTGTGAAGAAAGTGGAGGGGGAAAGAACTTTCTTGTGAGGAAAGTGGAGGGGAAAAGCAGGAATCATCAAATCAATTCATCAAAGTGATTCCTGCTTTGATGAATTCTTTGGAAGAAAGTGGAGGGGGAAAGCACTTTCCTTACTAGAAAGCACTTTTTTGCAAAGGAAGTGGAGTTGGAAGGCAGGAATCATCAAAATGCTTTGATTCCTGCTTCCCCCCTCCAGTTTCTAGCGAGGAAAGTGCTCTTCCCCTCCATTTTCTTCCGAAGAATTCATCAAAGCAGGAATCACTTCGATGAATTGCTTTGATGATTCTTGCTTTTCCCCTCCACTTTCCTCACAAGAAAGCACTTTCTAGTGAGAAAAGTGCTTTTCCCCTCCACTTTCTTCCAAAGAGTTCATCAAAGCAGGAATCACTTTGATGAATCGCTTTGATGATTCTTGCTTTTCCCCTCCACTTTCCTCACAAGAAGTCACTTTCTAGTGAGAAATGTGCTTTTCCCCTCCACTTTCTTTGGAAGAAAGTGGACGGGGAAAGCAGAAATTGCTTTGATGAATCACTTTGATTATTTCGATGTGACACTAGAGACCAAGGCCAGGATCATCCATACTACAATAATTCATAATTGTTACATATGGATATGAAAAAAGTCATCAAGTGAAAAAAAATGAAATAATAATTGGAAATGCAGTCGTACAACAGAGCTTTATGGAAAGAGAAACAAATAGGTGGATTCTGGAACAGATCAAGCTTCAATGCTTAATATGACTAAATTGAGGTTACTGTACTTTAAATAAGAGAAGATAAGACTCACTGGAAAAGTCAATAACACAGGGAAAAGCTGAAAGCAGTAGGAAAAGAAGAGGACTGAACATCACTTGGATTGACTCAACAAAGGAATCCATTAAGACTTGAGCAGGGCCATCATGAGAGGGCACAGGATTTCCAACTAGCTCATAGCAACAAAGCTAACATGTTTGTTAGGTATCCCAGGTGGTGAGACTTGAGCTCAGCATTGCAGCTATGTTTTCCTATACCCTCATGGTGGCAGCACCACACTGATAAAAATGTGGTGTTTGTGTTTTGTTTAAATACATCTGTTTGAAGAACAGCAATTGTGAACAACAAAGAATTTTTGTTGACTCATAACAAATGGATTTTGCCCCGGAAGTAGAAAGTTGGTTTATTCTAAGACACATACTGTATATTTATATAGTATTCATTCTGTCACTTGCTGTCTGTCCATATGAAACAAGGGCAAAGCCCAACCTAATAAATACACTAGTGTTCCACTTCCATTTGTTGCATCTATCAGTTATACCTGGATCCCACCTTTCCTCCAAAAACCTCAAGACAGTATGTGTGGCTTGCCATCTGCCCATTGTGTTCTTGCAAGAATTTTGCATTCAGTTTTTTAAAAAACTCTCTGGTTTATGAATGTGGAATATTGTGCTTCTGTATCCACAATTCAAAATTCGATAAAAATGGCCCAAGATTATGATACAATATTGTGCCCATTCACAAAGTGATGCCAAGCAAGGGGAAATCCCAGAAGCTGACTTTTATTTTCATCAGTTAACCACTTCTCACCCAAATACAAAGCAATTGTCAGGACTGTTTTTCAACAAGGGTGAATGGCAGTGAGCACAAGAGGGTATCCTGTAGACCATCTTGACAGCTGCCGTTGGTGTTATCAATGTTCAGGTTGCCCTTTGCTCTGTGAAGTTTGGTATTCGTCCTGCTGGCAAAGGAAGCCACATGAGTTTGCAAGAGCTGAACAGGACTGTTGATGTTTTGGAGGTCACTAATTTGTAAGGATGTCAAACGCTGGAGGGGATTTGAAGACACATAACAATAACCAATTATTGAAATGGTTGATATGCCTCTTTCAAAGCTTTGTTCCGGGCAGGAAGATTTCCAAGTGCCCCTCTTTTGCATTCAGCCCTGGCTGCCACTGCAGCAGTTTGTGTGGTGAAGTGAATGGTACCTTGGGACTGCCACAGATAAGACCTGGGTTTAAATCCATACTCAGCTATGAAACTCACTGGGCGACCTTGAGACAGTCATAGTATAACCTACTTCATAGGCTTATTGTGAAGATAAATTACAAGAGAAGAAACAGGTACATTGCCTTGATCTCACAAGAGGAAAAGAAGAATTGGAATACGATTAATTAAAAACTCTTAAGCTGAAAGGGTTTTTTCCCATTTTTGCTGTACATCCATTCTGGTTTATTTGCATCAAGCACTCAGAAATGATACAGGCCCACCAGACAGAGATACGACTACTTCAGAGGAAACTGGAACTCTTATCTTCCATGAACTGGAAAATATGGTCTTCTTCATTTAGCCTAAATGGCATTAGCCTTTTCCTCACAATTGTGTCACACTGCTGCTGACTCACGTTCAACCTTTGTTTGTTTGTTTGTTTGTGTGCTGTGCTGTCGCTGTCAAGTTGGAACCAAATTATAATGACCCTAATAGGGCTTTCAAAGCAAGTGAGATATTTAAGAAGTGGTTTTTACCAGTTCTACGTCCCCATTGAGTTTCCATAGCTGAACGAGGATTCAAACCCTGTTCTCCATAGCCCTAGTTTCTCACTCTATCCACTACACCACCCTGTTCAACCTGAGTGATTATGGTCCCAACACACTTTTTGCCTACACTACTGCCACAGATATGCTTTGGAAGAGTTCCAGTTGTATGCATTTTTGCATTATAAATGATAACACACATCCAAACCGTGGGCTATGAAAAGTCTATTTTAAAAAAGACACATGCCATCCCAGAGTGAAATCAGATGACCATGTTGGCTCCTTATGAATTAACAGCAGATATTTTATTTAGTGAACTAGATATCCATGGAAAAGAGTACACGTCTGGCAAAGCTCTGTATTTTCTTTGTCTCTGCTCGGCTTTTTCTACTTTGGGCTTTTTCCTTAAAGCATTTAAAAATAAAAATAAAAATACTGAGAAGAACATGACCATAATCACACTGACCATAATCACACTGAAGTAAACAAAGCTGCTCATGTATGGTGTAAGTATAGAGATGTATAACATTGATATGTGTGTGTATATATATATAGTGTGTGTGTATATGCTCAATGTTATACATCTCTATTTTTAAAAAGACAGTCCTGAAATCATAGGGCAGGATGCAAGGATATACAGTTTGCTAGATCCTTCTGCTTCCTCCTCTCTTCTCCCCCTGCCCATAGAACCCTAAAAGCCTCATTTTATGTGGGAAACCCTTATTCACATGTGTGCATATGTGTTTTCTGGAAAACTAGCTCTCTCTCTCTCTCTCTCTCTCTCTCTCTCTCTCTCACACACACACACACACACACACACACATACACACACAGTAAATCATACTTCAAGAGAGAAATGTCATATCAGGATTTATTTAAGAGAAAACTGAAGCCCATAGATACATCAATAAAATCTATAAAACATTTTTACCATTATTATGCTTTCAGAGAGCAGTTAGCTACAGAGAAAAAGGAAGTTTTCGAGTGGTGCAGGGAGGAGAGGGGAGTAGCTTGATACAAAGTGGAATTTGGCATAAATAAGCTATTTGGTTAGATTCAAGGAACCAGTGCAGCTGTACATTAGGCGGAGCAGTTATAATAGGCTTTTCCAACCTGTTGCCTTCCAAATGTGCAGGACCACAGCTCCCAAACGCTCCCTTTAAAGCAGCATAACCCTTTATCCTTCTAAATAATACTGTGGAGAAACAAAGAAGTTATCACCCTGTCTCATCGGCGGTAGACCTACCGGGCGGCTCCCTCAAGCCCAACAGCTCAGACATACAGCTAGAGTATCAGCATCCAGATTTTCCATTTCCTAAACCCGACTGCCAATATCATAGGCAAACAGCTACTAGCAGCATCAGGTATAGCTGGAGCTAAGTCACTAAGCCACAAATGGGAGAACAAGGGAGACATATGGATGCAGACAGAATAGCTGGGCAGAGAATACTACAGCTGATTATATATCATCATCATCATCACCACCATCATCATGTGCCATCAAGTCAAGTCTGATGTATGGCAACCCTTCTTAAGTAAAGAAATTGGGCTAACCCAGCATCTCCCAACTGGGTGCAGCCCAGATATATTGGGACTCCAGATCCAATAACTCCCTTAAGACAGCAGGCTATGGATCATGGGAGTTGCAGTCCAACAGTTCTGGAGGGCACGTGGTTTGGGGGTTCTGGGCTAGCCCAAGCAACAAAAACTTGGAATGAGAAAAAGAAATACTGGTACACTTTTAAAAATTATATTAGTTACTGTTTGCTCCTAACATACAATCAAGATGTAGTGGCTGGAACTGTGGGATGTCTTCCATGGGGCAGAGGTTGAAGACCCCATTCAGCTATGAAGCAGGCTGGGGATATCTTAAGCCAGTCACTATCGCTCAGCTGACCAACCTCATAAAGTTGCCATGAGGATAAAGTGGAGTTGGTCAGTAGGAAGAAGGGGTGGGGGTGGGGGACAGCACTGCCTGGGCTCCTTCAAGGAAAGGCAGGATAAAAAAATGTAATAAATAATAGACAATAACTACAGATAACTGGAACTAAATGCTGGCAACAGTTTTGCAGCCGCAGCCACTTGTTGAAATCTTAGCTCACTTTTGCTGTGTCTGCATTCGTGGTCTTAATGGTGAAAGGTAAGAGTTCCCCCTAAATAGGGAGTCCTCAAGGAGAGTGAGCCCAGGGGTTTCACTGGGTGATCTGGGCTTAAATCGGAATGGAACTGCTCTGCAGCCATAGGGACACCACTTTCTCCCAAGCACTATTCCCCACCAGTAAAGCTGAAATTGACATGAGTGCAAGAAAAATCACATTACAAAATCCCATATGCCTGCCAGCATCATCCAAGATGCTCAGGGAACCAGGCCACTATCCTTTCCCTGGGAGAACAGTCTCCCCATAGCTTGCAGGCCTGTTGTACTGGGTTTATGTTTAGCTTGCTACCAGTCTCAGAAGTCTTAAAAAGCAAAGGTGAGAGGGTGAAAAATGCATCCATCTCTAAGACTCTGCCCCTTATTGTTTCTTCTTTCATTGCTGAAACCTGCCTGCCCATTCATTTCAGTAATGGGAAAACACCTGAATCTTAGCTAGCACTAGTTGGAGAAGCAGCCTTTGGTGACATGCAGGATAAACACGCACAGAAGGCCAAAAGATAACGCTGATGAGGGGACACGAAGAGGCACTTGGATCGATCTCACAAAATAAGTCACCCCTCAATCAAATTTTATACAGAAGGAAAAATAATTCTAGATATCCCCCAACTAAAATGAAGTGGCAGAGCCTCTCTTCAAGCCAAATGAGCTCACGTAAAGAGCTGCCTGCCACGGCAGACTCGGAGTGGCTAGAGAAGGACTCACAATCAAATGTCTCCTGCCCAAGCAGAGCCTGGCTGAGTTAGGCTCCACAGTGCTGCAAGAAGAGGAAATGTTTCATGCCAAGAAGCCAGAACAGGTCACAGTAGCCTATCATGGGTCAATCACATGGGTGAGTTGGCACACTCTGCGGTCATCTCCATGTCAAAGACTCGCAAGGACTCTGCAAGAAAGAGAGAAAAAGAAGAACATGGTCTGACTGCAAATGCAGAAGTCTTGCCCAGGCCAAAGACAGTTGAGCATCTCCTGAGAGAGGGCAACATCACAGTCAAAGCTGTGCTCTTTCTTGGATTCCATGCATATGCACCAAGAGCAACCATCCAGAACAGGATATATATAACTGAAGTTTTGAGGGTTGGGACATAACAGCAAATCATGGTTTAGTTGAAATGGAAAGCAACGAGTTGATTTGCAGAAGGATGGAGTGTGTGAGTATATGTTCATTTTACAATCCTCCAAACTAGCCTCCAAGCAGCGGTTTAGATGACTGTCTAAATGACACCGCAGGAATGGGGCAGGAAAAAATTGTCCTCTTCGCCCAACAGCCACACAGTTGTGCCAAATTGTCTACATACTCACCAAACTGGCCACTGGCATTTCCCTCGGCTCCCTCACCGTTACCACAAAAAGGGATCAAGGATTCAAGTGTACGGGTGAACTGCAACTCCCAGAAACCCCAGTCAGGACAGCTGGTGGTGAAGGCTTCTGGGAGTTGCAGTCCAAAACTCCTGAGTAACCCAAGGTTAAGAACCAGTAGTTTAGATGACTGTCTAAATGCCACCGCAGGAACAGGGCAGGAAAAAATGGTCCTCTTCACCCAACAGCCACACAATTGTGCCAAATTGTCCATATACTCACCAAACTGGCCACTGGCATTTCCCTCGGCTCCCTCACCGTTACCACAAAAAGGGATCAAGGATTCAAGTGTACGGGGAGACATGGGTAGTTCAATGGTGTTACTGCAAGTTGTCCTGGAGAGGAAGAAAAAAGGAGGTGCGAGTTAGAAGCTGTAAAAGATTTGGCTGCAGTTCCAGAACCACTAACCTTATATATATAATCTTTTTTTGGGGGGGGGGAGGCAGGGAATACATTGGGGCAATGGCTGTTTGCTCTCTTTCTTTTTCTCTCTCTCCATTTATTATGATTGTAATGAGACGTCTCTATTGGATTTTGTTTCCACCATGTCCACTAGTCAAGTGGCAAAGGGAAAATCCATTTAATATCTCTTCTTTTATTACTTTTCAGCAGCAGTTTGGCTGTTTCTAGACAGAGAGACCTCCAAAAGTTGAAACAGAAATATGGGTGAGCCATGTAATTGCCGTATATGTCCCTCAAACTGTATGATTGTAATGAGACGTCTCTATTGGATTTTGTTTCCACCATGTCCACTAGTCAAGTGGCAAAGGGAAAATCCATTTAATATCTCTTCTTTTATTACTTTTCAGCAGCAGTTTGGCTGTTTCTAGACAGAGAGACCTCCAAAAGTTGAAACAGAAATATGGGTGAGCCATGTAATTGCCGTATATGTCCCTCAAACTGTGGGGGATACACAGAGAGACCTCCAAAAGTTGAAACAGAATTATGGGTGAGCCATGTAATTGCCATATACGTCCCTCAACCCCCCCCCAGCACTGTGGGGGGATACTTACGGGGTCACGCAGATGAACTTGGTCTTCAGATATGGAACTGTACCTGCTGGGGGTGAGGAAGAACAGGTGTTTTTTTTTTGGTTTATTGGATTTGTATTCTGCCTTTTCCTTTCCCAAATGCAACTCAAGGCAGTTCATAGTAAAACTGAATGAAAACACAATTAAAAAACAAAACCAGTTCAGTACTAGACACAAATGCATTGAGGAATTTGATTAGCTGCTGTTTGTTGGAAAGCTGAAGCAGTTTTCTCTCCAGTTCCTTCTGCTACTCTCCTCACAAAGAGGATTTGGAGGAGACAGTGGAGAAAAGACAAGCATCTGTGCTCTTCTGCTTTTAAAGTTGCAAGTCAGATTTTGGAAGTGAGGAAAATTGGCAACAATTGGATTAAATATTCATTCTTGAATTGTCTTCTGGTTTACCATCTGTTTGCTTTTTTGCCAACATGTCCCCAGATTTATAGGCACAAAAGTAAAAGATTGTAACAGTATCAAAACAAACAAACCCAAACCAGATGGGAATTGTAGTTCATTGGCAAAGCACCTGCTTCGGATACAGCAGACACCAGGTTCAATCTCCAACATTTCCAGGTAGGGCTTGGAAAAAACTCCTGCCTGAAATTGTAGAGAGCCAATGCTGATCAGTGTGGACAATAATGGGACTAGGTGGACCAACAGTATGACATGTTATAAGGCAATCCCCTGTTCTCTAATACTGTCCCAGACTGTGCCAGCTAGGGGAGCAATGAGGGTCATCCTTATCAGATAGCTATGAGCTATCTGAGGCCTTCATGAAGAAGTCCTAAATTCAGTGGAGTTCATAGCCCTATTCAGGTGATCACAAATAGAGTTTGCAACAATATGCGACGAGAGGAGCAACAGTTGAGAAAGGAAAGCCTCTGCTATCTGTGGAGGTTCTCCAAACCATTCCAGATCTTCAGAGACCCTAAAAAGGACTCCTTGAACAATGAGAGCAACTGACTGTATGGTTTTCCAGGATTTATAATCATTTGAAAAAACGGGGTTTGTTTTGTTTTTAAAAGAGACTCTCCAGTCCGGACAGTTAGTTGCTCTTTACATGGGAAGAGTGACAAAGTGGGGCTAGTTCACTTCTCGTGTAGGATTTTAACTCTTTCTGCGAAAATGTTCCTGCCAGAGGAGAAAATAATAGATGAAGTGGGGCAACAGGGGTGAATTCCTTGCTTCATTACAGAGTCTATTTTTACCTTGAATTTTGTGATCTTGGCCCCGTGCAATCTTCTATGTGTGCATATTCAGAAGTGAATCCCACTAAGTTTACTGGGACTTACTCCCAGTTAAGTGTAATACTGTACAGGACTGTGGCCTAAGCTACTCAAGATATATCCAGCACAGGGCACATATGTTTAAGTTCCACCTGCCCAACATGAAACCAAGAGCTGGATTTCCACTATTTTTCTTCCTGTTATTCCAAAGCCTAAGGGGAACAACTCAGAAAGCCAACTACTACCTGGATCAGGGGCTTCGGGGTGCTCCTGACTCTCTGGACGGCAGTATTTTCCAAAAGCCTCCTCTTTTGGAATATCAGGGTACAAGTAGACAAGTGGGGAGACCAATATGTTGGTGGCATCCATAATCTTGTAGCCCATAATAATCTCAGCAAAGGACATGCTGTTCAGCTGCTGCTTGGTGTATGGCTCCACTGACTGGATTTGGGTCTTCCCTGTGGCAAGGAAGAGAACAGAAATGCAGAGGTAGATTTTAGACAATACACACAAGAACCCTGTGTATAATTTCTTCCCCCACCAAAAAGAAAGCCAGCATCACAGGAGTAGAACAATAACAAACTATTACCTTCAAGAGGAAACACAGGAAAGTAAGAAATCTTATAGAAAGGCCAAAACCTGTCACAGAACCTTTTTGACTGTTTTTTTAATAGGGAGATTGTCATTAGTCAAATGTCAGTGATTGGTAACATTTCTGGAATAAGTGAGACCTCAGTTCTGCACAGTTCCAAAAGCTGAGTATTTGCTTGCATGCACAGAAGGTCTCAGGTTCAATTTCTGCCTGTTCTAGCTAAACAATATCAGCAGGACTGGTGGGAAATGATGAGAGCTACTTCCTAAGAAGATAGGACTCTGGGCTAAGAACCCTGACACCTGCACCAATACACAAGCGTAAGTGAGACAAATTCACTAGGTTTAAAAATGCCTGCAGCACCACAAGCATGCATAATTGAAAAAAAAAAGAAGCTCAAAGTTAGACCATAGCAATTTTCATTCCGAAATATAGGTTTTACCTTTACAAAACAATATCTTCAATACACTAGAATTCATCCTACTAACAGATTAGAATGTATTCACATCTACTTGAAGCCCTAAATACAAGGTAGTTGCAGCATTGCAAGATGCATTCCTTACCGCTAATGTCTTTCTCCACCCATGTGAAGGTGATTCCACCCTCTTTGCTGCTCTCACTGAAACGCAACAGGAAAGTGCCTGGAGGCTTCGTGCTCAGAATTGCTCTCTCCCGTTCTTTGCTGATAAAACCCATGATATACCTGAAGAGGAAGAGATAATATGGTTTTGTTTCCTTATATATTTTCAAAATAATCAGGAAAGCAATTCTCTGGTTGGAAGAAGCCTTGTAGCTCTAAATAGTTCAATCTTCTGTTCAATAAACCCCGGGAATGCAGTAGCCAACATCTGCAGGAGACAGCCTATCATCCTTTTAAGTAACCAGTTCCGTTGGTGGACTACTATCAAGATGTTTGCTTCAATCTATCAATCTTCTGTTCAATAAACCCCGGGAATACAGTAGCCAACATCTGCCTGAAGACCCTCAGCAAGGGACAGCCTACCATCCTTTTAAGTAACCAGTTCTGTTGGTGGACCACTATCAAGATGTTTGCTTCAATCTGCTTGCCTGTAATTTAAGCCCATTAGGATCAAGCCTTGTCTCTGCAATAGCAGATGGGAAGTCTTTACCCTTCACTATGTCACAGTCCTACAGTTATCATAGCATCCCCCTTCCCTACCAGGTTTACTTGTTTCAAATCAAACTTTCCCTGTTGTTTTCCACCACCCCACTGATCTCTGTTGCCTTTCTTTGAACCCATTCCAGTCTGCCTGTACCTGTCCTTAAAGTGTGGCATCCAGAAAGGAACACAGCGGTCTAGATGATGTCTGACTAGCACAGAATAAAGTGGGCTTGTTACTCCCCAGGTTGCACACCACGCCTACTTCCTGCCAACTAGAGTCTGTAGTGAAGGTTTAATCTTGCTCCCCAAAAGCTTCTGGAGAAGCTCTCCCCAACCTAGCACCCTCCAGATGTTGGGGGCATACAACTCCAGTCATTCCTGAACTATGGCCAGGCTGAGTTGGGGTGATGGGAGCTGGAGGCCAAAACAGCTTGAGGTCAGCAGGCTGGCGAAAGCTGTCCAAAGGGTTGCCATTCAGCCACTTTACTGGCCGAGAGCAGAGACAGAGGCAGAAACTGCCTAGCAAGAGGAGCAGCAGTGTTTGGGGGAGGTGCCTACCCTTCATTCCAGAGTGCCAGGATGTACTTCTTCACCAGATCAATGATATTATCCAACCAGACCCAGAAAGAGAAGCCTTTGCCTGCCATGTTCTCCTGCAAACAGGAATGCAAAAAAAGACCCATGTAAATAGAAGCGGCTGATGAACCCTGGGCACTAACACCGTACCTAACCTTCCTTAAGACCATACCTTGCAGAACTTTGCCCATGTAATCTGACATCCAGAATAATTGATGCCAGGCCCTGGAGTAAGAGGGAGATAAAAGAGAAAGTAGAAAGAGACAATGTTGTATAAAATTATTAGAACATTCTTACTTAACAGGTATCCTCCAGTTAGACTGCACCTCCCATCATCTCTGTAGATGGCTCTGGAACAACAGTCAAGCTTATGTGGAAGGGCTCCAGGCAGGAGAGGAAAAAAATCCTGGGTTGGAGGCCCCAGATTAACCAGATGAAGGGACCTAGATTTCCACCCCTATTAGCCATGAAGCTCCTTGACTAAGGAGAAGTAGAACCTCTCTGCCTAAACCACCTCCCAGGACAGTAATGTGGGCAAAAACTGAACAGAGGGGGAAAATCATATCTGCCACATTGAATTCTATCTTTCTCTGGAGGAAGGGTGGGTTAAGTAAGTTAATCCATCAAGATGAACAGGTTAAACTTAACATCTTGCCTGGAATGTTTTGATTTTTAAAATTAATTGATAAGAGAAGCTGGGAATTTAGTATTTCAGATTCCAAACATCCAACATGTCGATGCTTCGTACATTTTTTGGCTCCATATTTCAATCACTGGCCAAAGGACCTCGGAAATATACAGCAGTTCAGTCCTGCTAATAGGCAAGGGCTGGTGCTCATAGGCAGAGCTTGGAAAAGTTAACTTTTTTGAACTGCAACTTCCTCAAGCCAGCAGAAACAAAGTCTGAAAAAGGTGACCCCCTCCCTTTCTGGCCTATTCCTTTCAAAAAAGGGGAGAGTTTGTTACCAAGGAGTTTTTCTGCAAGCGTCGTCAGTTGCTCAATGCTGAGGCCTCGCTTGGTGGTTGAGGAGAACTGCCAGCTGAGCACCTCTGCAACTTGGTCCCAAGTGCCAATAGGCGGCTTGGTGAAAAAGTTCACATTCTATCAAGAGAGGAAGAGTGGAAAAGCTGGAATAAGGAGAAACGAATCCTATTGCTCTCTTTTGCATTTTGAATTCTGGGAAGCTCAACTTACCTTGGGATTGTTTGTCAGCATGTTGTACCACAAGATCGATGCCCAGGCATTTGGCATCTGGCAGATGTTGGAGATCACCACTACAGGAAGTGAGTGGGTCTGTGGGAAATAAAAAGAGCAGCAGTGAGCATGGGAAAAAACTGTATTTCGCTTCCTTGCTACTATCCACTGTCTCTGTTGATCAACACCCCCACACTCTCATTTTAAACATTAAACCAAACCATCAAGATTGTAGTCTTCATGTATCACAAAGCTAACTGCCTGCACGTGGGGGCTTGCATGATCACTTCCACTTCTGTGATAAAGGAAGCTGGAAAATTTGGCATCTGCATAAAGCAAAAGCGACGTGACCAGTGGATGCAATGAGCAGTTCAATAATCATGGAGACTTCTTTGCCTTTGCTTCAATCACAACTGGGAAGATAACTTTTAAAAGAAATTACAATGGTTGTCAGTTGCTACTTTTAGAAAACTAACTTGCTAGGAGTAGTAGAATATGTTGACCTGTTACTTCTGGTTAATTCCTTCTTTTAAAAGATCTTAAACATTAAAAACAAAGGCCTAATGCTGGAAATAAAATTTCCTGGTGTTGCTTCCCAAAGCATTTGGTCTCCCCGAAAGAAATTTGTTGAAGTAACTTTATTACTCTGAAAAGAAATGTAACTTCAAAAAATGTCATGTAATGGCACCAACTGTAATGCATTATTTCCAACCTTTGGTTTCAACAGACAGTAAGAGGGTTTTGCTTTTGTCATTTTTTTTGTCCTTATTGTTTTTGACCAGCTCTGATCTTCTATATTCATTTTCATGGCTGTTAGTTTGGTTTTTCAAAATACCATATCCACATTCAGAATACAGTGAAGCACAAATTGACACCTTTGTCCAGAGCTACACACATGTATGCCAAAGTAGACGTAGAAGGAGCTGCCCCATCCATTTTAACAGACACAATGAGTCTATATATACAAAGGGGAGATAGATACATACAATGTACCAGGAACACCTGCATCTGTTTCATGTTCCCCACCTGATTTGCATGGAAGATGCCACCTGTTACCATACACCCAAGTTAACATCTAGGTTTCCACTGTTGTTCTCATTCTGCTCATGAGAGTCTTCCCGCAAGACAGAACTCCACTGGAGTAGGTGTTTGCGAAGACTCATAATCCATCCACAAAGGGGTTGGCTGGAGGTGAAACCAGCCCAACCAGGGGCAAATGCAGGGCTCACCTCTAGGTCAATCTTCAGCCCTTGGTGATAAACCTCGGTCTCAAAAGTGATGAGATGGAGCTCTTCCGTGACTATGAGAGAGGCCTGAGGAGTAAGCAGTAAAGGAAAAGTTGAAAGGTTTCTGCAGATAAGTGTTTTTAGCCTGATGAAAAACCTGTGATACTGGTTTCCTTTTTAAGCTCTGCAATCACTGTGGTGAGGGTAAAGTCATGCTGAGAGATATGCAAGTGGAGTGAGCCTCAAAGCGTTAAAAAAAAAGTCATTTAAATACAGGTCTCCTGACTACTACTATCATCAGATTCAACACAGCCAGCACTGATCTATTTCCGTTTACAGGAGATACTGGAATGTAAACATTCCAGACACAAGATAGAGACCTTACGAGCTCTGGAATTTTCCACAGGAAAGCTGTGAGGTGCCAATGAGTAAGGGAAAAAAACAAGGGCATGCTAAGATCAGATCTGCAACTAGCATTTTCCAGCAGAGCTACATAAGTGTTTGACATTAAAATATCTGATTTCACATCAACAGTCTGGTGAGGGGGACTCACATCACAGTTTGCTCTTCCACCATTACCACATCTCTGCTCCCGTAGTGTCTGTGGGGGGTTAAAAAAGAGAGAGGAAGAATTAGACACAGGGGGCTAGTATGGACACAACTTGATAACATGCAGAGAATAAACCTAGGTGACTCTCAGGTGTAATCCAACATTTAGTCCTACTGAAATCAGGGCCGCCAAAAGGAATGGGATTTGTCAGAAGTGACTTGAAGATGTATTAATTTGAAAGGGACTGCTTTAGATAGAATTTACACTGGATTCAGCCCTGTGTGGTCTACCTATTTCTCCTCCAGTAGAATCAGGAGGATTACTTTAGTAGTTGTGGCTTCCATTTTTATAAAATGCAGTTCAAATCTGGAAAAACTGGTTTAGGTGCTTGTTGTGGGTTTTTCGGGCTCTTTGGCCGTGTTCTGAAGGTTGTTCTTCCTGACGTTTCGCCAGTCTCTGTGGCCGGCATCTTCAGAGGACAGGAGTAGGAAACTCCTAACTAGTTTACGGTTTGGATAATATGAAAATGTGATTAATCTAAAACGTACTGCAAACAGAAGCATATATTTCCACCACTTTTCCAAGCTTGTTTGGTGAGGACATGAGAGAGAGCCTCCACAGTGGCTGCCCCCCTCCCCAGCTTTGGAATGCACTGTCTGAAGAAGCCAGGTTGCCCCCCCCCCGGTCCTTCCATCGTCAGACAAAGACCTTCCTTTTCAGACAAGTTTATAAGCAATAAGTGGGGATCTAGGGAATTTTTTTCTTTATAAAATGTAGGTGTGTGTTTTTTTTTAAAAAATCTAAAAAAATGTTTTAAAAATTGATTTCAACCTTGATCAATGTTCAATTTTATATGTGTGTGTGTGTGTGTGTGTGTGTGTGTGTGTGTGTGTGTGTGTGTGTGCGCGCGTGTGTATAAAATTGAACATTGATCAAGGTTGAAATCAATTTTTAAAACATTGTTTAGATTTTTTAAATCTTTTTTTTATCACTTTGCATAGCATTTCAAATAATAACAACAACAATAATAGTAATAGCAAGGTTTTAATTGCTGTGAGCCACCTTGGATCCCCTATGGGAGAAAGGCAGCATATAAATAATATAGAGAAGTAAACAAGCAACCAAGGTTACAATCTCCTTGATGTCATTCTTGGAGGAGTTGGAAGGAAGCACAGGGGCTCAAGGTGTGTTCCGACTTATCCTTGTAACACTAAACTATGGTTTAATGCAACATATGAACTGGGGCTGCGTGCTGAAGGAATTGCTAGCCAGACTGGTGCGTCCATGAAGTTGCGGACTGTCTTGGGAAGAGGAGAACAGAGAGGAAGAAGAATAGAGGAGCCAAGCAACTCACCAAATGCTTGAACTCTGCAGAGAGGCTGCCATTGTTGGACTCCTCCATATTCATCACCTTTGTGTTTGTGCCCAAGATGTTAAATTTCCGGGACCTTGATGGAGAAAGAGGTGGGGAATGGAATTTCTTTAGCATGTTTGGACACAAGGGCATCCACAGGAATCTTTCAGGAGGGCACAGCTTTAGTACATTATGTTAACCAAATTTAGGTACATAGCATGCTCCTGCAACACAATGTATCTGCCTGTACAAATTAAATTAATTAATAAATTTAGGGTTGTGGCAGAGCAAGTGCTCTCTCCCTTACTCCTCCTCTTTGTTTAAGCCTTTAAAACAGTGGTTCCCAACCTTGGGTCCTCAGATGGACTAGAAGCCTTCACCACTGGCTTTGCTGGCCAAGATTTCTGGGAATTGTAATCCAACAGCATCTGGGGATCCAAGGTTGAAAGCACTGCTTTAAAATAATCACCCCTTTAAAGACAAAACCCAAGCCTCAATATGGGAAGGAAAATTTGGGGAATCGGGAGTGTTATCTTATAGATGTCAGAGAGTGCAGTGCCTCGAACATACCCCCGGAGGGCAGCCACTTCACCAGAATCCCTGCAGAAGGAGAAGAAAAGGAAAATACAGTCAGATAAGGACAAACTGGAAATAAACGTTATTTTATTTATTTATTTATTTAACTTATATGACGCCCACTCTACCCAAAGGTCTCCGGGCAGCTTACAACAATTGAAATTAAATTAAAATACAATAAAAGATAAAATGATTAAAATACAATTAAAATAGATACTCTAAAAATTGCCATCAGGACCCACAGTTGATGTTATTTCAATTAAAAGCCTTCTGGAACAGGAAGGTTTTGACCTGGCGCCGAAATGTCATCAACGTCAGTGCCAGACGAATCTCAGTCGGGAGGGCATTCCATAGTCTGGGGGGCAGCTGCCGAAAAGGCCCTTTGTCTACAAGCTGTCCCTCTTACCTCCTTGAGGGATGGCTCTTTCAAAAGGGCCCCCTGGCTAGGTCTTAACTGCTGGGTAGGCTCACATGGAACTTGTTTGTATTGTGTAAGCCAAAAATCACAAAAGGCTTGCTGCTGAAGGACATCTTTCAGTCTCACATAGCTTTTTAAAAAAAAGTTGTTTGCACTTACTTGTCAATACAGACTTTGATTTTCAGCTGGTAGTTGAGCTCAGGAAATTTAACCAGTAACCTGCCAAAGCCAAAGGATCTATTAGCTTTTTGAAGATGCTAATCACTGCCATCATTCCCTGATACCCATGCACGTGAATACAACACACATTTTATCTGCTGTTTTATTAGCTCCAGATTGGGCTGAGTTGGAGGGAACACGATTTGAGCACTTGTCTGCCTACTGGCCAACACATGGGGGGGGGGAAGGAGGAGGAGCAGGAGGAGCAGGAAAAGAAGAAGAAGAAGAAGTATTTTAACTGAAACTAGTTTTCATCGTGTAATGCCAATCTTCAAGAAGAAAGACTTCATTGTGAGCAACACCTATCCCGTGATCCCCTCTGTTGTATTCTGCATTCTTATATTTAGGGTCAGTTCAGAATCTTGAGAACCTGATAGGAAAACAGGAAGCTCCCTTAATATTCCCAGTGTGGTGTAGTGGATAGACTGACAGATTAGGACTCTGGAGAACAGGGTTCGAATCCTCATTGGCCATGGATACTCACAGGGGGAGTAGAACTGGTAAAGCCACTCCTTAAATATCTCACTTACCTTGAAAGCCCCATTAGGGTCACTACAAGTTGGTTCTGACTCCCTGGCACAGAACACACACACTTTATATTGAGTCAACCCACTGGTCTGTCTACTCCAGCATGATCAATGTATACGCAGAAGAGCTTGCATTTGCTCTCCAAGATTTCAGGCAGGATTCTTTCCTTTCCCTTTCTGGAGATCACTGGTATTCCCTGGTGGTCCTCCATCCAAGAAATACACAATCTCAACCTTGTTTAGCTTCCAGAACCAGACAAAGCTGGTGTGTTCATAAGGGAATAGTGGCATAAGACCATCTTTCCTTGCTTCAAAAAGCAAGCTGCTTCTATGGATTGAATGATTTACATTTATTTACAGTATTTGTATCCCACCTGGTACAGTATCCTTGAATTTTCAGCACTTGCAGCAAAACCAATAGGTTTGTAAATATGTTTGCACTGCTTTGTGCCTCCACACAAAGCAGGCAAAAACAAAATACTTGGGCGGGGGTTGGGGTGGGAATCAAGACAATTTACACAGATTACAAAATGTAGGTCTACAGTTGTTTGAATGCAACATTATACGGCTAGCTTACATACAGTTCAGCATCAGTAATCTCCCTGACTCTGAATTTATACACAGCCAATTACTCACCGCACTTTCGTTGTGAACTGTACCCCAGTTTTGATAACCAATGGGCGATCTGGGTGCATGGGCATACATGGCTGCCTCTCTACCACAAATGCACTGCAAAGAAATAGGACAGGGATGAGAACGGGCGGTGGGTAGGACCAACTTATTTTCAAAATCTTAAAAATAGCTTCTGGGTGTATACATTTACCTAAGGACACTCAAAGATTTCATTCTGCTTGCATCTAAATAATGAATCAATCTGATTTGTACTCCCTAGATTAATATGAAGAAAAGCTCTTTTGGGGGGAGCTCATTTCTCCAATCTTTTTTGCTATGTTTATTTGGATTAAAATATCTGATGGCTAAAATGCCTGAAAGAATGTGTAGTTTAGAGCAAAATGCATACAAGGCCAGCACAAAATGGTAGATAGTTGAAGGTTTTGGATAGAACAAACTAATGAATAAACGCAGGTGGAACTATAATGGGCTTGAAGTAATACTGGTCTGTCCATCCCTACTCACACACCATTAAAGCACCCATCATCATAATACACTGAGGAATGGCAGGCAATACCTCTTCATGAGATTCCTGAATAATTCCACAATGCGCTCCTCCAGCAGGGGTCGGTGCTGGACAATGGGATCACCCTTATACGAGACCTTCTGCTGGAGCTCCTCCAGCTTCTTGATCTGTTGGCGTGTCTGAAGTTGGGATTCTGCCAGGGATGTTATCCTAGAACGAAGGAGAAGAGATGTGATCTCACACATATATACATGCACAGTAACATCAACAAGGCCTCAGCTCAACCTTACATTGGAACAGATGTGGCTTCTACTTATTTCAGGGATTCTGCCAGGGATGTTATCCTAGAACAAAGGGGAAGAGATGTGATCTCACACATATACATGCACAGTAACATCAACGAGGCCTCAGCTCAACCTTACATTGGAATAGATGTGGCTTCTACTTATTTGGGAAAGACATCAAAATTATCGGTTGGACCATCAATTCACCTATGTCTAGGGGTAGGTAACCAACAGCCCTCGAAACATTTTTGGGCTCAGTTGCATGATTATTGGGTCTCGGATGATGGCACCTATAGGCCAATAATATCAGGGAGGGGGGGTTTATAGATTCTCTGCCACTGAGTTAAGCCCAATACTTCCTGCTCTCCAAAGAATTGATGGTTGTGTCTCTTCCTCTTGCTATTCAGAAACGTCCTGCCATAGCAAGTGGCAAAACGACTTCATTACAGAGCCTATAAGAAGACTGTGTTTGCTTCTGCCTTCTCTCTCTTCTTGACAGTGGGGTACTACTCTGTGCCCAGTAGTTCATATGATTTGGAGTGAATCAGAAAGGAAATTAACTCTCTTTTTGTAACTTCATGGAAAGAAGATGGGTTAAATGGCTGGGAGAAGGAAGGGCAGCCAGGTTGCTCTGCTCTCACCAGTTCTCGAGGCGATCAAGGCAAATGTTGGGCGGGCCACCAATGCATGCAATCTGCTGCCTCCTCTTCCAGTCTGCCAGCTCCTCATCCACCAGCGTCTTCTGCACGTATTCCATGGCTGACAAGAGCCCAGCCAGCTCACTCACAATTCCCTAGGTGGGGCAAAAACAAGCATGCTGAGGACTCCCTCTCATTTCATATTAGCATCTTGCTTTTACCTTCATACTCACTGCTTTGTAAATATCGTGAAACTATATTGTGCCCTCTTCCAGTCTGCCAGCTCCTCATCCACCAGCGTCTTCTGCACGTATTCCATGGCTGACAAGAGCCCAGCCAGCTCACTCACAATTCCCTAGGTGGGGCAAAAACAAGCATGCTGAGGACTCCCTCTCATTTCATATTAGCATCTTGCTTTTACCTTCATACTCACTGCTTTGTAAATATCGTGAAACTATATTGTGCATATCACACACACACACAAACACACACACACATTACCTTCATACTCACTGCTTTGTAAATATTGTGAAACTGTATTGTGCATATCACACACACACACACACACAAACTAGACATACAATGATTTTGCATCAACCCATATCAACTTAAATACAATTGGTTTCATTCAGACTTAAGATGTAAGAGTCCCACTGAGAGCAACTAAATTGTTTGGGCATGACTGAGTCCTCTTGATTCCAATGGTCTTTCTCACTATGACCCTTACCCTCCGCATTTGATCCAGTGCTGACAGCATCTGCTCCAGTTGTTGCATCTTCTGTCGTGTCACTGCCTGGTTATTTCCATTCAGATCTTGCATGTCTAAAGATCCATAAGAGAGAGATAAAAAGCTTTCTTACTATTCCAAGAGGGCCTTATAATTCTCTGGATTCTTCACACTTATTTTATCAGCACATACAAAAAAAAATAAAAAGCAAAAAAGCAAGAAACAAAAACATTGTGGCATCTTACAGATTAGCTGCTATATTTTAATGGGAGCTTTCATGGATCAAGTCCACTTCCTCAGACACAAGACAGAGACTATATGACTGTCATATTTATACATGGTCTCATGACCTGATAGGTCATGAGGCCATGTATAAATTGTCACTAGTGAACGAACTGACAATGGTTAGCTAATGAAGGAATAGGCTATCAGGTCGTGACTAGCATAGAGGATACAAGTGACAAATTGTGTGAATCAATGTGGCATTTCACACTTGGTAATAAGTTAAGGACTCTTGACTAGGCATGTTTAGCCTCAGAAGACTAGGGGAGATATGATAGCACTTTTCAAATACTTGAAAGGTAATCATGCAGCGGAGGGCAGGACCTGTTCTTCAATACTTGAAAGGTAATCATGCAGAGGAAGGCAGGACCTGTTCTTGACCATCCCAGAGTGCAGGACACATGATAATGGGCTCAAGCTAAAGGAAGCCCGATTTAGACTGAATATCAGGAAAAACTTCTTAACTGTTAGTCATACAACAATGGAACCACCACAAGAGGTGATGAGCACCCCAACGCTGGAGGCATTCAAGAGAAAATTGGACAGCCACTGTCAGATTTGCTATGATTTGGATTCCTGCATTGAGCAGGGGGTTGAACTTGATGGCCTTATAGAATAAAGATTCTATGACTAATAATCAATCCTTTTAAATGAGTCTCCAGTATCTGTATATCTCAGCAATTTCTCTTTGAAGCCTTGTTTTGTACAAAGTTGATAATGGCTCATTAGTAAAGGAACAGGTATATAGTGGTGCCTCGCTTAACAAGCGCACCATTTAACGAAGAATCCGCATAGCGACACATTTTTTGCGATCGCTAATGCGATCGCATTGCAATGTTTTGAATGGCAAAACATCACATTGCGATGATCGGTAAGCGTTTCGCTTACCGATCTTCGCATTGCAATGTTCTAAAAAAACCGGATGATCGGCGGTTCCAAAATGGTTGCTGGAAGAAAAAAATGGCCGGCCGCTCCGTTTTCGCGCCCTGCCCTCGCTTACTGGGCAGCGAAAATGGCGGCTGGATGGGGGAATCTTCGCATAGCGGTGAGTTTTCGCCCCATAGGAACGCATTAAACGGAGTTTAATGCGTTCCTATGGGTTCCCCCCCACGCATAGCGACGAATCCGATTAGCGACGTTAATCCTGGAATGGATTAAGGTCGCTATGCGGGGCACCACTGTATAAGCCTGTGAACAGCAACAGTAGAGTTGACAGAAGCGGTCCATTTGTGGTACTCCAGATATTGTTAGATGCTGGCTTCCCTAAGTTGAAGTCCAATCATACCTGGACAGCCACAAGTTCTTCAAATCAGATTTGGTTAAGTCAGCTTTAAAACTATTCATCTGTGAGCTCTTATAAAATATTTTGGGGAATAGAGAAAAATTGGTCCCTACACGCTTCTGTTTCTCTGTGGTTTTCCCTTATAGTTTTAGGGTTTTCCCCCCTTGATGCTTGGTCTAAATGGGTTTTTGAGTACCACTCCCAGACATCCTTCTATCAGCACTAACTATGCTAGCTGGAGGGCTCTGGAACATGTACGTCCAGAAACGTTGTTTTCCCTCTTCTTCAGCAGTGAAGAGACCATGATGAATAATATCCTTCGTTTTGCCAGACATTTCTAAGAAGCTTCCACCTACCACCTTGACTCTTTAAGGTTTTGTAGTTGAAATCGAAGTCATCCTGGAGATTTTCCACCACTTTCATCTTTTGCTCTAGGTCCTGCAAGAAAAACAAGGAACATTTCACAGAGCCAGGGCCCAGTTACACTTTTGAAGTACAAATCTCAGACTTTCCCAGCACCACCGCCACCGGCAGCCAGTATGAACTTCAGCTGTGCTAACCGGTAGTTACTGGGAGGTGTTAGGTCCAGAAATTAACACTTCTAAGCTCTGATGCAATACTGATACAGTTTGAAAACTGGGAAGAAGGGAAACAAAGACGTGGTTCTCTTCCACTTACCTGCACCCTCTTTCTTACATCTTGCAAGTGTTGTTCTAGCATCTGCTGCTTCTCTGTCACAACTGCAGCTGTAGGGTGGTTTGCCTGCCCGCCTTGCTGCAGTAAAGTGGGGGAAAAAGGAGAAGACAAGGAAACCATTTTTTTAAATGGTTACACAAAGACAGCCACTTAGTCATATGTTTTTTTAAAAAAGGGTTCATGAAGGGCACAGATTTGCATCAAACCGCATACGCTAACTCTTATATATAGATTGCACATTTAGAAATAGTTACTATAATTTATACGGAAACACAATACAGCTCACCTATGGCAGAATTAATGATCTAATATGAAACAATTAAACAGTATTACTAAAAGATTCAGAGATAATGTGTGGATCATTGACCTTTATAGGTCATACATCTAAGTTGTTGTTTAGTTGTTAAGTCGTGTCTGACTCTTCGTGACCCCATGGACCAGAGCATGCCAAGCCCTCCTCTCTTTCACTGCCTCCTGGAATTTGGTCTAATTCATACATCTAAGTATAGTATCACAATGTGTAAAAATTACATTCCCCTACCAACCTATCTAGGAATAAACTCCACTGACCACTGACCACTGACCTTAAAGGGTCTTGCTTCTAAGCATAGGGTCATGAATTCTTACAGTTGTGAGGGGTGTGGTATCTTTCTAAAGCAGTTGAACTATTACTTAGCTTATTTTCAGTAAACAAGCAAGAAGTTTATCTGGTTTGTTTTCTTTTTGAAATATCCTTTAATTAAGAAGAGGGAATATTCTTTCTGTATGAATGCAAATTAGCAAAAGTTTAATTGCTTTATTTTTTTCCTTCTGACTTTTTATAAACCTTCTTGGAACACTGATTTTTACGTTCCTTCGCTCGTCATTCCACTTGGACTTTTTTTCTTTTTGAGAAGGGAAGCATTTGGTTACTGCTTTCCATGTTTCCCAAATTGTAATCCAAATTAGAATCCTACGTGATATTTATCTGGAAAAAAATTATGAAGATTGGTAGTTATCTCGTGGATAAGTTGATCAGTTTGCTACTGTAGATTTCAAAATGCAACTGTTTCATACAATTCTCATTTCTTCAGTATCTTTTCTAAACAGAGGAAGGGATGCTTAACATAACACTTTGGTTCTATTTCAATTTTCTTAACTATTCATGTCTCTGTGGGAGTTATAAAAAAAGAGTAAGTGATGAGTACTCAGGAATAGAAAAGAAATATGATCTCGTAACATTTGATTGAATGCTGCCAAGTATCTATCAAAAAAGCGTTTTGAAATTATTTCATAATGCTTTTGGCAAACAGTCTGTACATTGGTGCCTCGCTTTACGATTGCCCCGTTTAACTATGAAATCGCATTACGATGAAGTTTTTGCGATTGCTTTTGCGATCGTAAAACAATGTTTCCTATGGGGGAATTTCGCTTTGTGATGATCAGTTCCCTGCTTCGGGAACCGATTCTTCGCAAAACGATGATTTTCCAACAGCTGATCGGCGGTTTCCAAATGGCCACCAGGTAAGCAAAATGGCCCCCCGCTGTTTTCTGGGATGGATTCCTCGCATTACAGGCACCGAAAATGGCCGCCCTGTGGAGGATCTTTGATGGACGGTGAGTTTCAAGCCCTTTGGAACACATTAAATGGGTTTTAATGCGTTTCAATGGGTTTTTCTTTTCGCATTACGACGTTTTCGTTCTACAGCAATTTTGCTGGAACGAATTAACATCCTAATGCGAGGCATCACTGTACTATTCTCCATACAGTTGGGCCTTGCCTGCTTCAGAGGAAAGCAATACTTTTTAACTGAGTCTGTAGAAACATCTAGTTAGCATCTAGTTTTCAGAGAGAGAGAGGCATATTTGGAAACTATCTGAAATCAAGCAGCACCTGATAACATCAGTTCCATCAACCCATTCCTAGAACAGGTTGAGATGCACCAAAGAGCCAGTCCTTGGGTTAGACTACAGCTCCCATCCTCCTCAGCCAACATGGCCTATGCTGTTCTCTGTAAGAGAACTAACATGAGGATACTTTGGGGGAGGCTGATTTACAGAAGGGCAATGTGTATAAATTGCATTGGATTCAACCACTTTGCTTTCTCTACCAGGTGTACGTTTTGAAAGACCGCATGTAAAGCCAGACCTGAGTAGAGAAAACGAAGCGATAGACAGAAATGAAACCTCTCGAGGTGCAGCAGCATGCACTAACCTGTCTGGCACAGCTGGCTACCTTAGCCAGAAGACAGCATTTCCTGACACACAGTCACAGATTCGTTAAGAAAGTGTTGGGCCAGAGCATCACTCCTTTAACATTATATTTCTTAGAGGGAGGAGCTCATGGCACCCAGATGTTATCATGATGGGCTCACACGCATACAGTCCAGATGGTTTTTGCTTTTACACTCCCATGGCTAGAAAAGACCTTACAGCGAAGTATGACAATAGCACATGGCAAACCGACCAGAGCAACCTCCTCTCACCTGTGCTGCTGTGGCTGCAGTCTGCAGCAGCCGATTCTCTTCCCATAGGCAACGGGCTACAATGCGGGCAATTTCCATTGGTTTCTCCAGGTACCTGCTCTGTAAAGAGAAGCAGCAAAGAAATTAATCCCCAAAGAATTATGATAGAATGGCTCAGTCTTTCAGGCCTGGGCTTGAGAAAGGGGACACTAAAGCCAACTGGGAGGGGAGGGGAAACTTAATTTGAGGAATAGGGCAATGGGGTATTTTGTTCCTTTTCCTTGAGTGGCAGAGGCATGCTGTGTAAACGCCATGTGGTGCCAGTTTCGGATTCAGATGCCTAACAAGAGCACCCATGAATTTATGTCCTACAGGATGTCATCATAAAAGTTAAATTAAGCTTGGCATGGCCCACGCCGTGAGCTCAAGACTCAGCAGCTAACCTCTCAAGAAAGGCTCTCATACCACCTCTTGAGATAACGGGTGGAGAAGCCCCATCCTTGAATTCCACCTTCTCCAAGATGTGGGCTTTCCAGCTTTGGTGCAAGTTTTTCCATATTCCAACGTTTTAATATGCCCTCCCCTCCCCCCGCCGCATACTTACTAGCAATTCAGAGGTCTAAGCTAAAACTGTTTTCATGGTATTGGTTCCACTTTTTTGCATGTGACACCTCCCACCCCCACCCCACCCCAAACATAGCTCCTTAGAACCTGATCAGAAATTGAACAGTCTGCTCAAATGGAAAGATATCGCCTACTCTTTCTTCAGATTATCCCAGGCTTAGTGGTGCCATGGTGTGTTGTGTGTATACAAACAGAAAGAGGGGAGGAAGGGGACAGAAATATTGCTTCACTAGCCTATCCACACAGTTGCCAACAAGAGGTATGATCTGGTTTCACCCCAAAAACAGAAAAATCGTTAAATCAGTCCCTCAAATCTATGTGGTTTGTTGCAACTTCTATGCTATTTTTAGCTGTCCGGAATCCTAATGTTGTTTATGTAAGATTTGTGTAACCTCCCACAGCTATTTGCACCTAACTGATAAGTTGCTGAAGCACATCTCAGTTGCACAACTGCATGCAAGGCCAGACACACGATTGAGACATGACCCAGAACCTTATCAATTAGCTGCAATTAGGTGCAGCAAGCTATGCAAACCTTAAGCGAAACAGGCTTCTAGCTCTTCTGTTTTTAATGTCAGAGGACTATGCCTGCATTGCTACCTAAAACAGTGTACAGTTTTCACTGTTTTTTATTATTTTAAGCTTTCTGGAAGCTACTCTGAGAATCCATATAAACTGGAAAATTCAGGATGTTAAAATATTCCAATTGTAATAAAGGTAATAAATGTAATTCTAACTGCATCTAAACTGGTATAGAAGACTGATGTTCCAAGTTCCGCATTCTTGTTTTGCAACTTGAATATGATGAGCTAAGCAAATGTGCTTTTGATTCAACTTCTTAGCTCAGCTTGCAAAATAGAAGCCAGAAAGTTTGTAGTTGTTTGGTCCTGAGTGCCAATGACACCACAGGAGTACTGGGGACAAGGGAGCAGGACACAGAAAGAGAAAGGAAGATATATTCCAAATGTAGACATTCATGCAAATCTATCTCTACACCAAAGTCTAAACAAACAAAAAACCAGTCAAAAATACCCATAAAAGCTAAAAACTGGCAATTCCTGTTTTTAAAAAAGTCACTGGACATCTCAAGATTCTGCAGCATCCACTTTGAATTCTAAGTTAACAATTAAAATCTATCACAAGGTATGGTGGGTGGAGGTGGTGTACACGCTCATACGAGCATCCTGCAGAAAGAGGAGAACAAGATGTTTGCAGCACTCTGTTTCAACTTTATGTTTTTCTTTTGTCTCCTTGCACTGTAAGGTGCTTTTGCGATAACCTGCTTATTACTATGCATTTTATAACCAGGAAACCACAATCAATATTCTGATGGCTGCAAAGGATCTGTATTCTGCTCTGTGCAATGAGAATAAAATACCCATCAAATATGCTGGTATATGATGGGGTCTGACAGAACACTAAGAAACTAGTGTTGTCAGAAACAAAAGTGGAGGGAGTAGCTTAGATTGAAGCCCCCCCACTCTCAATCCCCTCATCTCTTTCCAGCTGTTGGTGGTAGTTAAATGCTGGAAACTGCAGTGGGTGCATCTCCTTGATCATAAGGGCTGTTCTCCTGCAATGGAATCTCAATTTAAAAAAACCCAGGCTGCACAAGTGACCTCCCTTGGAGGAGATCCAATAGCTGCTAGACCCTGGAAAATTTTTTTCTCTTTGACATGAATTAAGTGTGAGTACAGGGATGGGGGAGTAGACATGGAGAAAAGAATACCTCATTATGGTCTCACACAGAGCTTGGAAAATTTATTTTTAGAAGTCATTTGTTTCCATTACTTGTGGCAATTTCTGAGACTTTACCTGTTTTCATTACTGTACTTGTTGCAATGTTGAAAAGGTAATCTGTTATACATTTATGGTACTGTATCTTACTCTTCTCATAATTTACTTTCTTTTTACTTATGATTCATAAGTAAACAGCATAACCTCATGAAGTTACTCTCAAAATGCTTTCATATACTCTCTGAAAGTAGCATTTTAAAGTAAATTGGAAACGTTTCATCTGTAAATTGACTCTCTCCTTGCTTTTTACATTACTTTTAAAATGTAAAACTGTATTATTAAAAACTCCCTTCCAAGTCACTAATTATAGGTACTAAATTACAGACTGTGATATTGTATTCACATTTTCTTGCCATGATGCAGGAAACAATATAAAATCAATTTTTCAGATTCTCAATTAGCCTAGTTGAGTGTGGGATGGCATATGAAAGGCCTAGCTGGAATGAGGAAGCCTCTCATGCATTTTATGTATTTATTTTATAGCTGGCCCATTTGTGGTCCTCCAGATATTTTTGGGACTCCAGCTTCCACAACCCCTTGTCACTGGATCTTACGGCTAGGGCTGATGGAAGCTGAAGTCCAACCACATTCAGACAGCCACAAGTTCTTCAAATCAATACCTACAACAGCAACAGCGGTAATAATGATGATCCCATCTTTCTCCCAGTAAACCAATGGCAGCAACATACAGAGTTCTGCCTTTCAATATTTTAGCCTCACAACATACAATATAGAGGAGGCAGCTCTAAATTATAAGACACCTCAGTTTTTCCTAGGAAATTGTAATAGAGGTATCCAAAGCTAAGGAACAATGAATACTTTCTTAAGAATCTGTGCAACAGGAAATTAGTCACTAGCTTCTTCCTGAGATCTTAAGCCAAGACCAAACGGTATGCACATGGAGAGTTTAAGGCTTTTAAATCATCCTTTTCTCTAATAAGTTCAATACATGGTTCCCACTTTAACCTCACAACCACCCTCTGAGGTGGATCAGGCTGGAGGTCATCCACTGCATTTCCTGATCCAGGAGGGGTTAGAATGTACATCTTCCAGTTAAATCATCCTTTTCTCTAATAAGTTCAAGGTGGTATACATGGTTCTCACTTTAACCTCACAACCACCCTGTGAGGTAGATCAGGCTGGAAGTCATCCACTGCATTTCTTGATCCAGGAGGGGTTAGAATGTATATCTTCCAAATCTCATGTTTGTGTTCTCTCATCAGTACACTTCTGTGAGCAGCTCACTAGATGGGGATTTCTCTTTTCCCCTCTCTGTGTCAGTCTCTTGATATTTAAAATATACAATGATAGTACAGTGGTGCCTCGCTTAACGGGCGCCCCGTTTAACAACGAATCCCCATAGCGATGATTTTTTGCAAATGCCCGTTTAACGACGAATCCCCATAGCGACGATTTTTTGCGAACGTTTTTGCGATCGTACTGCAATGTTTTTAATGTGGAAAATATCACTTTGCGATGATCGGTAAGCAGTTTCACTTACCGATTTTCGCATAACGATAATTTCCCAACAGCTGATCGGCGGTTCTAAAATGGCCGCAGGGTAAAAAAAAGGGCCGCCCGCTGTGTTTTCGCCTGGATTCCACGATTACCGGGCAGCGAAAATGGCGGCCGTATGGAGGATTTTCACTTAAAGGTGAGTTTTCTGCCTATAGGAACGCATTAAACGGGTTTTAATGCATTCCTATGGGTTTTTTATTTTCGCATAGCGACGAATCTGCATAGCGACGATTTTTGCTGCACAGATTATCGTCACTATGTGGGGCACCACTATAATGCAAATCTGTTTTACAGAACTGTTGCTGGGATTATTATGAAGAAGTAAATTTATGAACGTTTGTGAAGAAGTAAACTCATGAAAGTTCTCAAGCCCTCTCTAAAATTCTAAGATTGCTAACAGCAGTAATTCATCTGCTACTTTAAATTTTGGTAAATGGAACAATCAGTATTCAGCCTGGAATCAAGTGCAACTCCAGAGACAGGTCAGCGCACAAGGGAGTAGCTTCTCTTTCTGGTGCTTCTGGATTTATTTATTTAAAACATTTTTACCCCACCTTTCTCCTTAAAAAGACCTAACATGGATTATATCATTAAAAGACAATGCTGAAAGCTAACAACAGTGAGTATACAAATACTAAAAAGCCTCAAACAAACACCATACAAAAAAAAAAACATAACACCAAAACACATTTAAAGCAATAAGGTACAAGAGTCCATTTAAAATCCCCACTGAGGTGGCCAGTCACTCAGGGATAGCCTGCCTGAAGAGAAAAGTCTGCCTGCTTGCAGAAGGACAATGACGATGGGGCCAGTCTGGCCTCCTGTGGGAGGGAGTTCGAAATACCATCATTCCTACAGTTCAGAAGTGCCTCCCATCTCAGGCTTCTACTATCTGGGGCTGAGGAGGGCAAAGAGCTGCATGACACAAGACCTCCGAATAGCAAAAATCTGCCAGTTATTCCCACCTGCAGAAACTGCTTGATCCGGCGCAGGTTGTGCTGGTAAAGAACATTTGATTCCTGGAGGAAGCGGCTGTATTGCTGGTCAATTTCCCCCAAGAGGTTGTGGAACACCAGTGTGGCATGGGATTCCTTGCTGGCAGCATAGGCCCTGTAGAAATTGAGGGAGCAGAAACCACAGGAAAGCGAAAAACAGATTTGTAGTAACAGTCTTTAAAACAAAAACTATCCAGAGTCCTGTGGCACCTTAGAAGGCAAATGTATTATTATATCATGACTTTCATAGGCTACTGCATCTAATGAAGTGAGCTATAGTTCCTCAAAATGCATGCTATAATACATTTGTTATTTGTTAAAGTATAAGAGGACTTTCATTTTCCTCCTGCACCAGATTAACATCTTTGTCTCTTTGGAAAGTCTTTAGAGCATGATGTTTAAGGTCAAGAATTTCCTCTCTGACAAATAAATGTTATTCCCCATTAGAGAACGAGGAAGCACAATTAACTCAGCAATCTTCTCTATGTTTTCAAAACAGAAAAAAGGTTTCAGTGAATTTCCAGCTAGGCTTTGTAAACATAATCCTGGGAACTCAAGGGCCAACACCCACAAAGTGAAAAGAGTTAAAAAAAAGGTTTCAACCACTGTTTCAACCACCGGTTTCATTGCATTTGGGGGTGGGGGGAGCGAGAGATGTCGTAAGATGTCAGCCAGAAGAAAATAACGGAGAAAAAGAGTCTGATGGTTTATAAACATCTCAAAGAGCCACCATCAAAACTGTGTCCACCAAGAGTATAGGACCATAACTCTTACCATTCCCAGTCAGAATTAACTAGGAAGAACAGGAGATACATTGCAACCAAAGTTCCCTCTAAGTGGGGTGCATGCGTGCATCTCTGCCTCCCTCCGCGCAGCTTTCTTCCTCCTCTGTGCAGGGATCACACTCAACCCCTTAGGTTCCAGTTGTGGAACCCTGTGCGTGGGGGAAGTGGAGTCGCTCAAGAGAGAGGCGGAGTCTCGCCCAGCAGGGCTGAAAATTAGAGGGTATTCTGATTCCAACACATCTTTGTGGGAGCTATTTTTGTGAGTTTACTGCACATCGGTGTTTAAAATTTCAGTCCTCCTAGATGTTTTGGCCTTCAACATCCCAAAGCTCCACCAGCCAGCACACTAGATAGTCAAGAGTTATGGTATAAAATATTTGGAGGGTCAAAGGCTCTGAATCACTTGATCCAGACCATCAACAGGTCACATCCGCTCTGCAAATACAATTCTATTTAGTTCCTGAGGGCTTTGCCAAATTTTGATCAATTCTTAAGGTATGCTCTTTCATATTTTTGGACTACCGCCCGAATGTTGCCCATTAGGATCCATTGAGAGTGCTTCCTGAAGAACTCCCAGGAAGACCAGTGATTCCCAAGTAGCACTGGGGCACCTTCCTTGTTTTTACAGACCAACGAAGATTTTGATGGCAGTAAAGTTAGCTGGTCTGTAGACTTCTGTTTCTGGGATACACCTCCCAGAATTCTGCTTGGAGAATTCTTTGAGTTGCAGTCCAAAAATATGAAACAGCATACCCCTAACAATTATCTGTTTCTGTCACCATGGGAGTCCCCAGACAGCTGGGTGGGGAGGAGAATTAAGGCTGAGGGAGGAAGAAAATTGGCACTGCCCATTTTTGGTGTAGCTTTGTCCATCTCTCACCCTGACAGAGCACTCCAAATGAAAACAGCCCTCGATAGAAAATGCAAAGCTTGGAAAAACTCCATTTTTGACTACAACCTTCATGAATCTGCAACCAGTAGCCATACTGGCTGAGGGACTCTGATATATGTAATCCAAAGAAATACCTTACTCTGATTTTAAAATACCAGATGGTATCATGTGCAATTAAGTCAGAACCAGCTTATAGTGACCCTAAAATGGCTTTCACGGTAAGTGACATGTTTATCAATTTTAACCCAATACTCCCTAGTTTCCTTGGCTGGGTTTGGATTTGAACTCAGATCTCCAAAGTCCTAGTTTATCTCTCAAGCCACTCAACCACATTGGGTATCACTTTATAATTGAACCTGACCATATGTGAGGGAAGTTCTCACCTTCCCTCACCGTTGGGTATTCTCGTGGCACCCAGGAGTCCAATGATATCTAGAAGGCCACAATTTGCACAGAACAATAAATGTTTCATCTCTAGGCCACTATCTGTTTGGGCAAGACTGCTTTCCTGAGGAAATAAAGAACATTGTGGTATTTCAACACATTTATTTGTGCACTGAAAGCTACTTTTCAAGTATAAGTGTAATCGATGAACACTCATGCTAAAAAAATGTGTTAAAGATACCATGTAACTTTCTTTTAATAATGCTGAAATAGATTAACTGGCCTATTTTATTGAAAATCCCTGAAAAAAAGATAGGCTAGCTACTCCAAATCAAATAATGTCAAAATTCCAGTCTTTCCCCTATGCAATGTAAGTTGTTTCTAGCAAAATGTTCCTTTCTATTCCACCCCCCCCCTTCAAGGATGATATGAAGAGCTTTAAAGAGCTTTACTAGGAAGGAAGGATCTCACACAAATCTAGACAACATGCATATAAGAAGAAAACTTAAATGGCTCACCAGTCCTGACTTTCAATCCAGGGTGCAAGGAACTGCCGGAGTTCCATTGGAAAGCTGTCACTGTACAGCTGGTGGAGCTGCTCCAAATACCGTGTGTCTAGCTGCTGAAGTTGGTTCCACTGGGCCATCTTGGCAGCCGACTCTGGAAATATATAAGCGGTTTTACAAGAATGTTAGTCCGCCACTGCTGATTATTCAAGCTTGGAAACATTGATATTCTGTAAAGCTGAAACACCACCATCTCCTAGCCAGACTGACCAATGTTCATGTTGGCTAGGAGATTCTGGGAATTAAAGTCCAAAACAAATGTTCCAAACTGTGCTCATAAAAGTAGTAACTAAAATCTTAAAACAAAAGAAAAACTTCAGACATGTATATTACTACTTTATGAATGACGTTCCTTGTCAGCTTTCCCCAAATGAACTCCTAGTGCCTCAACCAATACAACTGTGGTGGTTTTGCATTGCATGCGTCACTAAGATCTGCTGGAGAGACACTCCTCTGTCCTCCACCATTGAGAACCATTCAGTACGTGGAGACATGAGGGAGGGCTTTTTCAGCAATGGCACGCTAACTATAGAATACTCTCTCTTGGAGCCTTGACTGATGCTGGAGTGCATCAGCCAAGTCAAAACATACTTCGCTATTAGAGCCTTTGAGGGCTGAGGAACATGGCCTACCAAAGTTTCAATGATATGACTTTAATGTTTTAATGTTGTGTTTTACACTGTTAAATTTTACATTGTGTTAAATATCTTATGTACTGTATTTTAATGAGACCCTGAGGTATATGAAAAGGAAGGAAGGAAGGAAGGAAGGAAGGAAGGAACGTTTGTGTACTGGAATGTGGCTTGGGTTTGTGAGGAAGCTGCGTATAATGAAAGACTGAATGAAAGTATGGCCTTATTAGTACTAGTGTTAAAGCAAGTATCTAGTTAGAAAGAAATAACAGAAAATGTTCCATCACCTCCACTGGCCTTGTTGTTATATTTATAGGTAATTATATTTTAAGTAATTATATTTTAAGGTTAAAAAGAAAAATGAACACTTCTAGTTATATGCTGAAAAAAACTTACTACAGTACTGTACTTGAAATCTTGTTCTTGGATTTTATTTATCCTTGTTCACTGAACTTTTTTTATCCTTTGTGCCTTTTTAAAACAATAATGCTATTTTTTGTTTATTAACTTGCTCATTATTTTAATAGGTAGTAGCCACAATGTCTAAAACCCACATATACTGCTGGCCAGTGCAATGACACATGATTTGTGTAGTATAACCAAAGTAAATGATGTTGTGTGTCACCAAAATCATTTTTACTTTTAAAATAATATAATAATCATGTACAGTATCAAGTCAATTCTGACTTATGGCAACCCTTTTCAGGTAGAATTTTTTCCAGTGAGAGTATTTTTCCAGGTAGAGAATACTCAGAAGCGGTTTACCATTCCCTTCTTCTGAAGGCCCCCTGGGACTGTGCAGCTTTCCCATAACTGCACAGACTGGCTCAACTTGCAGGAGGCACACAAACTTCGAACCTCTTGCTCTGCAGCCAGATACCTTAACCACTGAACTATGTAGCCAGCCGTGGCTTTAGCAGAATCACAGACACAGTATAAAAGAGAACTCGGGCTGTTTGCCTTGGCTGGTTGTAGAGATAATTCAAGAGAAGGAGCCCCTGTTCACAGGTATAAAGAAAAAAAATTCCAAACCTCGCATAGGAACTTGGAGAGGCTGTTCTTTGGGTAACAGCAAACACAAGTAGTGAAGATGTATAAGCACTCCAATGACCAATGACCACTTTGGTGGGAGAAAATGGGGGATCTAGCCAAACATACCGTATTTTTCGCTCCATAAGACGCACCTTTCCATAAGACGCACCAATTTTTTAGGAGAAGAAAACAGGAAAATATAATCTGCAAGTAGTGAAGATGTATAAGCACTCCAATAACCAATGACCACTTTGGTGGTAGAAAATGGGGGATCTAGCCAAACATATCTGGAGGCCATTAGGGTCAAAAAGTTGTTTCTGAATGCTCTTCCAGTTCTTTCTCCCCAAGTTGTTAATACATTCAGTACCAATATAAAGTCAAAGACTGAAGTCAAGAGTTTAGTACCAAACAACATTGACCCATCAAATCAACATTGTTGCCTTACCATGACTGGTAAATATGGAAGCGCAACTGCTCATTATGGCAGACCCCATAATCAAAAACCCAACAATCAGGAGAGTATAAAAATTCTGGTTTGGTCCATATCAACAAATAAAGAGCAGCCTTCTGGTAAAATCATTGGCTCTAAATTGCTCCTTTAAGAGAAATCATATCCACATACTTTGCCTTATGAAAGGAAGACTATGCAACAATATTACTTTCTCAGAATAGGTTCCTTATTCCTAAACTTACTCCAGTTGAGACCCTTCTTCTTCTTCTTCTTCTTCTTCTTCTTCTTCTTCTTCTTCTTCTTCTTCTTCTTCTTCTTCTTCTTCTTCTTCTTCTTCCTCTTCTTCTTCCTCTTCTTCCTCCTCCTCCTCCTCCTCTTGTTATGTGTCATCAAGTTGCCTCTGATTTATGGCAACCCTACAAATGGGCAATCTCCAAAATATTATGTCCTCAATAGTCCTGCCCAACTCTTGCAAACTCAAGTCTGTGGTGTCCCTTAGGGAGTCAATCAATCTTACATTTGCTCTTCCTCTTTTCCTGCTGCCTTCCATCTTTCCCATCATTATTGGTTTATTCCCAGAGAATACTGCCTTATCATGAAATGCCCAGAGTAGAACAGCCTCAGCTTCAACATTTTCACTCACTTCAGGCTTGATTTTATCTAGGACCCACTTGTTTGTCTTTCTGGCAGTCTAAAGTATCCACAAAGCTCTCACCCACACCATATTACAAACAATTTTTTTCCTGTCCGGTTTCTTTACTGTCCAGCTTTCACACTGTCCAGCTAATCACATGGTGATTAGAATACAAGAATGTGGATGACCTTGTCCTTCGTCTCCAGTGATATCCTTACAGTTGATTATCCTTTCTATTCCTTCATTGCTGCTTTTCCCAGTCTCAGTCTTCTGATTTCTTGACTGAAGTCTCTATTTGGATTGATGACTGAACCAAGGTATACAAAATCTCAATTCCTTCATTGTCAGTGTTAATGTTGTGTAGTTCTTCTGTAGCCACGATTTTTAACTTCTTAATGTTCAGCTGCCGTCCTTGTTTGGCACTTTCTTCTTTCACTTTCACTCAGAATCATTTCAAAACATTGCTGCTTTATGCCAGTATGATGGTGTCGACTGTATATCTTAAATACGTTTCTTAAAGACGCCCTGAAATGCCATTCTATTGTAGATATCTGGGCCTGGGAGCAAATATTAACAGGAGCATTCTGCCATAGTAAAAGCAATGATAACACTGCCACATTTGGTTGTAGGTCCTTATTTGCAATGAAATGTATTTCCCTTTTTTGACTGGCCATGTGACCACGGAATATTGTCTTCGGACAAAACGCTGGCTCTATGGCTTGGAAACGGGGATGAGCACCGCCCCCTAGAGTCGAACACGACTGGACAAAAATTGTCAAGGGGAACCTTTACCTTACCTTATTTGCAATGAAATATATTTCCCTTTTTTGATAATATATTCTTTCTCAATAATCCCTCTCTATTCAAAGTGCTCCACTCTTTGTCTCTTGTGTCACAACAGTCCTCTGAGTCACAGCAATGTTTCTGCTATATATCCCTATATGAAAATGAGAAGCAAAGGGACAGCAAGACTTAAACTGATAAAACTGATAATAGCTTTCCTGAGGTGCAGTCAGTTCCTAGCTGAGGTCAAATTTGGTTAGGGATTTCCCAAGTCTCACATGTTGCTGCCCTGCCTTCTTACAGAATTAGAACAAAATTTCTTGAGCTCTGGGAAAGCAGTGTGGCTGCTGGTGGTGGAGGGAACCTTGTCTCATGCTTTGGGTAAACCAGGACTAGATTCTGTGAGGTAAAAGAACAGAACAGAAGGCAACCCTCAGGAAAGAAAAGGTCAGTTTAGAGGTGATTAGTCAGGTTAGGCTGGTCACAGAGCTATTGGGCCATGACTGCATTTTTTTAAATTCAAATTCTAATATTTGAAATTAATCTCCACTTCTTATTCTCCAGAACAACTGCAAGTAAGGAGAATTGGAGGGTTTAAAAACATGAGCTAAGTCCCTGGTTCAAATTTCATCTTCACTAAGAATTTTCTACAAAGCCTTAGGCAAAAAAACCTAGATGTCACCCATCTACCTGCAGCACTGCACTAACAGTGTGGCCTAACCCACAAGATAACTGAAAGGTGGTGGTGGTTGCTCTTGTGTGCTATGAAGCTGCTTCTGACTTAATTAGTGAGTTCCAAAAGGTCCTGACATTAACGGTCCTCCTCACAGTCTTTCAAATTTAAGGCTATGGTTTCTTCTACTGAGTCACTCCAATCCACATTTGGTCTTCCTTCAAATTCAAAAGGTTTTACTGAAATAAACACTAAATTAGCTATTTGATCATATAACTGGCTTATTTTTTTAAAATGGTGGAAATTCAGTACTGAACTTTAGGGTTTCATATTTTAAACTATCTTGGAAAGGTCAGTTTTAAAATGTTGCAATAAACCAATTTTTTAAAAAATCAGAAGCACCACCAACTTGTCAACAAGCCAGCTTCATCGGGTTTTGTCTCTCCTTCACTTGTCATCCTGCAGAGAGGTCCTCAACCTTAGGCCTCCCGAGTGTTTGGGACTTTCAGCTCTCAGAATCGCTGGCCACTGACGGTGCTAGCTGGAGCTTCTGGAATCCAAGGTCCAAAACATTTGGAGAAGTGAGAACCCCTGATCCAGCACCCATTCCATCAGAGCACTTCCAATGGTTTTGCTAAGGACACACAATTTTTCTGGCACCTTCTCTCTCCAAACCATTTTTATTATGAGGGGACATGACAGGATGATCAACACCAAGACTGCATTACAACGGCAGCAGAGCTGATAGGAGCAAGATCCACCTAAAGCACTCAGAATTCACTCCTAGATTTTTCTGCTTTTTCTTCTCCTTCCCTATTTGCTTTTACTTATTTCTTGTATCTTTTTCAGACTGTAAGCTTGAAGGGAGGAATTTAAGGTTGTTGTTGAT